TGAGACAGAGTTTCGCTCTTGTTACCCAGGCTGGAGTGCAATGGCGCGATCTCGGCTCACCGCAACCTCCGCCTCCTGGGTTCAGGCAATTCTCCTGCCCCAGCCTCCTGAGTCGCTGGGATTACACGCATGCGCCACCATGCCCAGCTGATTTTTTGTATTTTTAGTAGAGACGGGGTGTCACCATGTTGACCAGGATGGTCTCGATTTCTTGACCTCGTGATCCACCCGCCTCGGCCTCCCACAGTGCTGGGATTACAGGCTTGAGCCACCGCGCCCGGCCAATTTTTGTATTTTTAGTAGAGATGGGGTTTCGCCATGTTGGCCAGGCTGGTCTCAAACTCCTGACCTCAAGTGATCTGCCTGGTTCGGCCTCCCAAAGTGCTGGGATTATAAGCATGAGCCACTGTGCCTGGCCCCTCCATTCTTTTTCTTTTTCTTTTTCTTTTCTTTTCTTTTCTTTTTGAGACAGGATCTCACGCTGTCACCCAGGCTGGAATGCAGTGGTGCGACCTTGGCTGACTGCAACCTCTGCCTCCCGGGTTCAAGTGATTTTCTTGCCTCAGCCTCCTGAATAGCTGGGATCACAGGGTGTGCCACCATGCCCGGCTATTTTTGTATTTTTAGTAGAGATGCGGTTTCACCACGTTGGCCAGGCTGGTCTCTATCTCCTGGCCTCAAGAGATCTGCCCGCCTCTGCCTCCCAAAGTGCTGGGATTACAAGGGTGTGCCACCGTGCCTGGGCCCATGTTTTTCTATTATGTCAAATTAATCTGTCCTTGAGAAGCACTTAAAATTGTACATTGGTTAGTCTTTAATGAAGCAAGATATAGAATTAAAATCTAAGGAGCACCAATAAGGGTCAGGTTGAATTGCTATGTTAAGTGAGATTGTACCAAAATACATTTAGAATATACTTATTCCTTTTTTTCTTTTTTATAGACATGGTGGGGGGGGGGTCTCACTATGTTGACTAGGCTGATCTTGAACTCCTGGCCTCAAGTAATCCTCCCATCTCAGCCTCCCAAAGTGCTGGGATTACAGGTGTGAGCCATGGCATCTGGCCTCAAATGAATATATATATATATATATTTGTTTTGTTTTGTTTTGTTTTGTTTTTGCAAGCCATTCAGGGAGCAATCTGGAAATGTGTGCCAGTCATTTGAAAGATGCCCCTGGCAGGACAGAGCTTTAGAACAGGAAGATATCTTAGAGATCATGTAATGATCCAAAGCTCTCATTTTAAAGGAGCTAAAACTGAGGATATGACAGGTCAACTCACTCTTTCCAAAGATAATCTGTAACCTGGTAAGACAAGTCTTGCTTTCAGAAGACCCTTAAAATAATTATATAGGGCTGGGTGTGGTGGCTCATTCCTGTAATCCCAGTACATTGGGAGGCCAAGGTGGGTGGAACACGAGGTCAGGAGTTCGAGACCATCCTGGCCAACATGGTGAAACCCTGTCTTTACTAAAAATACAAAAATTAGCCAGGTGTGGTGGTGCACACCTGTAGTCCCAGCTACTCAGGAGGCTGAGGCAGGAGAATCGCTTGAACCTGGGAGGCAGAGGTTGGAGTGAGCCAAGATCGTGCCACAGCAAGACTCCGTCTCAAAAAAGAAAAAAAAAAAAAAAGAATTATACAGTAAATTAGTACCACATCAATATTTTACACAGTAAGTTAGTACCATATCAATATTTGGAACAGGTTTTTTATACCATAAATCGATTATTTTCATTAGGATAACTCCTCCTCTTCTTTTCTGGGACTCTTTAAAACTTTTTAAAATTTAATTTAAAGTTCCAGTATACATGTGCAGGATGTGCAGGTTTGTTACATAGGTAAATGTGTGCCATGGTAGTTTGCTGCAGCTATCAACCTATCACCTAGGTATTAAGGTCTGTATGCACTAGCTATTTATCCTGATCTGGTAATCTTTTAAGCCTGTAAGTCTTCCCATTCCAGTACCTTCTGCTGTTCCTGAAATAGGGCAAGATTTCAGTGCAAGATTCCCATATTTTCTTCTATTAAAAAACATATTTTTTACCACTTTAACAATGTGCCAAATAATAGTGCATAAATGCAGTATAACAAATTTTATATCTGTACCTACTTCAAGTGTATTCTTCCCTTTGGAATAAGCCAAAGGTGAGCTAATATCTGCACATGATTTGTTTTGTTCAGATTCTTTGATAACTTCCACGTGGATTTGATGGGTGTTGTGAGTAAAGAACATGGACATCTCGGCCGGGCGCGGTGGCTCAAGCCTGTATTCCCAGCACTTTGGGAGGCCGAGGCGGGTGGATCACGAGGTCAAGAGATCGAGACCATCCTGGTCAACATGGTGAAACCCCGTCTCTACTAAAACTACAAAAAATCAGCTGGGCATGGTGGCGTGTGCCTGTAATCCCAGCTACTCAGGAGGCTGAGGCAGGAGAATTGCCTGAACCCAGGAGGCGGAGGTTGCGGTGAGCCGAGATCGCGCCATTGCACCCCAGCCTGGGAAACAAGAGCGAAACCCCGTCTCAAAAAAAAAAAAAAAAAAAAAAGAACATGGACATCTCTTGGGTACCCATATTTCCCCCCTAAATTGGTAATGCTGTGGTGACATATTCAAGGTATGTGAAATATTCTTAAACGGAATATAAAAGCTTGCCCTGGGCGCCATAACCCTGTAAGAATCAAAGTCTCTCTGTAAGCGGGTCTGAATGGCTTCTAGCTTCTAGGATGCATCAGAGTGCTTACAAGCTTTGGCCCCCTAAGTGGCTACACCGATGACCAGCCTACCATACTGGGCTTCGTGGTGAACCCAGCTCTGCTCTCTTCCTTGTCTGGCTCGCTTTTACCAGCTGCTGATGACAGCCTGGCTTGCTTGTTCAGGTAGTGATGGACTCTGATCTTTCCCTCTGACCCTTCCCAGCTGCTGCTGACAGCCTGCCTTGTCTGTTCAGGTAGTGATGGACTCTGACCTTACCTAGTTCAGGGTTTAAAAATATGATCATAAAATGACAGAGACCTTGAAAACCCATTTGGTCCTTTTCCTCCAAGTCGTTCCAACCAGATGAAACTCCCTCCTGTTTTTAAGTGCTAGCACAGAAAGATGCCATCACCTTTCACCGCCCTTGGACGGGCACTCACTGGGCCTAACTGCGGTGGTAATTCCATCCCTCACTGCGGGACCCAGACATCCCGGGGCTGAAACCCCTTTCCTCCCTGACGTCTGAAGCCCAGCAGAGAGTCTCCGAGCGCTCGGCCACGACCCCTAACCAGGTGGACAGGCGAGCCGGGTAGCGCCGGCCCACACGCTGGGCGTGGTCCCTGGCAGCAGAAGGGACCAGAAGGTGAGGGACCCCGGGCCGCAGCCGGAGGGGCGGGGTGGGCTTGCACTGCTATCGCGAGAGCTCGCGAGGTGGGGGCGGCCAGGGGCTGGGGAGGGCCGCGCTGGGAGCCTGCAGCCCTGCCCTGCCTCCCTTTCTTTCCCCTCCCTGGAGTGATTCAAGCCGAGCGCTACCCACTTCCGCCCCCTCCGCCTGCCATTGGAACTGGCTGAGCCGAACTAGTGGCGGCCACCGAGCAGCCGGCGTTCCACACCGCCTCCTCCTCCTCGTCGTCGCCTGTTCTATCAGCCTTTCCTCTTCTCTTCTGGGCGACGCCTCTCCGAGGCCTCGTGACCGCTGAGCCTGCAACCCGCGCCGCGGCCGACATGAGCTTTTTGTTGTGAGTAGCCAGGCCCCGCACGCGCCGGCTTTGTTCGGGTGGACCTGGGCCCCCGCCCGCCGCCCGCAGCCCTCTGCCCGCCGCCCGCCCTCGTCCCGACTCTCCTGGCCCGGCGCTGCCCGGGCCCGGCGTCACCACCAAGTGGGGCCCCGGGACTGCGCGGAGCGCTCGAACTGCCTAACCGCCGCCTCCCCAGCGGGCTTCGAGTACGCGTGGGCTCCTCCAGCCCCGAGGAGGCTCTTTCCCCCCGGCACACCCCGGGGCAAGAGTCTGGATCCTCCATCATCCCCACCTCTGCCTTTGCTTGCATTCTGGGGCTTGCTTGTGCGCTTCTCGTGGGTATCTCCCACTCTCCCGGTGACTGGCTCCAACCGGCGCCCGGTCGAATGGCTCCGTCTCGGCTGCCCATTGCTCTTTTCTGGGTCCCAAGCACTGACGATAGACTGTCGTACTCTCCCCCGTCACCCCAGGACCCTTTTAACTTCCCCTCCGGTCTTAGGGCTGGGAAGTTGGGATGATAAGTTTTGTGCATGTAACACTGAAACACGGCTGCTTGCGGGTCGGGATCCGCTGGACACAGACTGGGGTCCTCAGGAAAAGCGTCTGGAGCCGCCCCCTTGCTTCCTCGAGGCGCCCTTCCTACCAGTAAAGTACTTCCCTGAAGAAGACGGGTTTTATCTTTTAGACCACCAGCAAATAGGTTTTGCATAGTGTGCTCCGCCTAGTTGTTGAGGTCCACTGGGGAGCTGTTTTGAAAATCATTTGTAAATGTCAACTTTGGCGTCATATTTAGTGCTGGTCATTATTTCACTTACTTATCATTTGCTCCAGACGAGTGGGGGGAACGTGGAGAGGGAAGGGCAGAAGGATGGGATGGCCGGATGTGGATATGGAGGCAGTAGATAAGCCTTAGGTGCTCTGAAAACAGGGGTTACAACCTGAGGAGTAACTCTTTTGAAGGCTTCGTTGTGATGCACCCATTCCATGTTTAGTCTGTGTTTAGAAAACTAATTTTAAAACTCGGAGGTTGAAACTCACCCCATACACTCTTACTGTTGTGGAGAAATTAGCATTTAAAGATGGTTTTGTTAAGATTTCTCTTCTTTCCCTGCCCAATAATTTTTAGTCGTTACATTGACGTCTGAATGCTGAGAATTTAATTCACCCTTTTCACATTCTCACATCTAGAATATTATTTTTAGGGTGTTTAAGCAAAACTGAACAATCACAGAAGCCTCGGGGCAGACTTACTGTTTGCAATATGCGTAGAGGACCTGGCTTGTGTCAACTTGCCTAAAACGTTTAAACTGTGAAAGGGAATTTCTTAGGCTCATCCTGGAAGTTGGTTCTGAGTTTGTCAGATTGGCATAGGGCTAGATGACAGAACTGGGTGACTTTATAAAAAAAGTCTTTGTTTCCTATTTTAGTTCTTCTTCTTCTTCTTCTTTTTTTTTTTTTTTTTTGAGATGGAGTCTCTGCTCTGTAACCCAGGCTGGAGTGTGCAGTGGCGCGATCTTGGGTCACTGCAGCCTCCGCCTACCGGGTTCAAGCGATTCTCCTACCTCCTGAGTAGCTGGGACTACAGACCTGCGCCACCACGCCCGGCTAATTTTTGTATTTTTAGTAGAGATGGGGTTTCACCTTGTTGGCCAGACTGGTCTTGAACTCCTGACCTCAAGTGATCTGCCCATCTCAAGTGATCTGCCCGCCTCGATCTCCCACAGTGCTGGGATTACAGGTGTGAGCTACCATGCCTGGGCAGTTTCCTATTTTAGTTCTAATCATCGTATTCAAGCATCTGAGCTTGAATCTTCTCTCATCTTGAGCTTAATTTTACGTTGCTAATGTTTGTTTTTTTCAAGAATTTAGAAGCTGTATTCAAAATAGCACTGTAGATGATGTCCATGACTACTGTTGATTTGCTTGTGTCTAGTAAGCTAAATTGGTTAAAGCAAAGCTGGGTGCGGTGGCTCTTGCCTGTAATCCCAGCACTTTCCGAGGTGGAGACTGGTGGAACACGAGGTCAGCAGTTGAAGACCAGCCTGACCAATATGGTGAAACCCCGTCTCTACTAAAAATACAAAAATTCGAGGGTCGTGGTGGCACACAACTGTAGTCCCAGCTACTGGGTGGGCTGAGACAGGAGAATCGCTTGAACCCGGGAGGTGGAGGTTACACTGAGCTGAGATCCCACCACTGCACTCCAGCCTGGAGACAGCAAGACTCCATCTAAAAAAAAAAAAAAAAAAAAGTGGTTAAAGCAGGGAAGAGCCATATTTGGCTGAAACTAGGGGATAGAGAAGGTTCTGGTGCTATTTTTTGAATACAAATACAATAGTGTCCTATTTTTACATGGCTCAGTATTTAATAGATTCAGAAGTGTGGTGGATTGGTTCATTTCTCCTGAAGGTTATTAGCTACAAAAGAAATCTGCTGTGACTAATGTATATAGCACCTTAGAGCATTTGCACTGTTCCGGGCACAATCAGAAAAGTTAATTCAACATTTTCAGTTTTGAAAAAAAAAAACAACTATTTTCAGTTTTGGTCTTTGTCCACCATCAGTTTAAAATCTAAAGTGAACACCACTTAGAAATGATTATTATTGGAACTGAAAGAATAAAGCTTTGGTTATTTCATCTATTTGTTATTTGGTATAGCTGTCTGAATACTGTTTCTTTTTTTTTTTTTTTTTTTTTTTTTGAGACAGGATCTCACTCTGTTGCCCAGGATGGAGTGCAGTGGCATTACAGCTAACTGCAGCCTTGACCTCCCAGGCTCAGGTGATCCTCCCACCTCAAACCCCCTCCCTACCTCAAGTAGCTGGTGCTACAGGTGTGGGCCACTATGCCTGGCTAATTTTTTTTTTTTTTTGGTAGAGTCAGGGTTTTGCCATGTTGTCCAGGCTGCTCTCCTGGGCTCAAACAGTTCACTCATCTTGGCCTTCCAGTATGCTGAGATTACAGGTGTGAGCCATCTCACCTGGCCATCTGAGTACTATTTCTGTATCAACAAATGAGCAGAGAAAGAAAGAGTTACAGCCTAGGAGTTAAATACAAATATTTTCCTCCCAGTTCTTGGAATTTTACTGGGAAGCCTACTGTCAGTGGATGGAGCAGAGGAAATAAAGGCAGTGCAAGATAGGGTTATGAAGGCGGTGACTCATGACTCTTGGGGGCTCTAAGATAGAAGGAAATAATTATTAATGATTTTTAAAAGATACACTGTGGGCTGGGCGCAGTGGCTCCTGCCTGTAATCCCAACACTTTGGGAGGCTGAAGTGGGCGGATCACTTGAGCCTTGAGTTCGACACCAGCCTGGACAATATGGCGAAACTCTGTCTCTACCCCCCAAAATACAAAAATTGCACCTGTAGTGACAGCTTCTCTGGGGACTGAGGTGGAAGGGGCATCTCAGCCTGAGGATATTGAAGAGGTTGAGGCTGTAGTGAGACATAATCATGCCACTGCACTACAGCCTGGCCAATAGAGAGTGAGACACTGTCTTCAGAAAAAGGCCAGTTGCAGGGTGTAGTGGCTCAGGCCTGTAATCCCAGCACTTTGGGGGCAGAGGCGGGCAGATCACTTGAGATCAGGAGTTTGAGACCAGCCTGGCCAACATGATGAAACCCCATGTCTACTAAAAATACAAAAAGTAGCTGGGCGTGGTGGTGGACGCCTATAATCCCAGCTACACGGGAGGCTGAGTAGGAGAATCACTTGAATCCGGGAGGTGGAGGTTGCAGTGGGCCAATGTTGTGCCACTGCACCGCAGCCTGGAAGACAGAATGAGACAGTCTCAAAAAAAAAAAAAAAAAAATTCACTGTGCCAGGCACTCATGCTGGGCACCATTTGTGACAAAAGAGACAAAAATCCCTACATTAGTGGGGCTTATGTTTTGGTAAGTGTCTGTAAATACTAAACATTAATAAAATCATGTAGTATGGCAGAAAGTCGTAAGTGCCATGGAACAAAGAAGAGCAGGGCATAGAAATTTTTGGATAGGGAGTTGAGACAGATTAGGATAATCCCCAGAGTGGGTGCCCAGATCATCTGCAGGAATGATACCTTTGTTTCGCTTTTGTACAAATGCTCAGGATAAATTTGCATTGCATATGTGGGTCTGGCTGGGACCGAGCTTTGGTTGTGCTGCAGGTTGGCCTCTGTGTGTCTTCAGATTAAGCTAAACTCTCATAGTAGATACGGAAACTTGACAGGAACCTCATTTAACTTTGTGGACTCAAATCTTTTAAACACATCCTTAGCACCTGCTATGTGCCAGGCATCGAGAAAGATGTGAGACTCCAGAGATGGTAGACGGTATATAGTCGTCTACAATAGATGCAATACAATCATGGGGGCCCAAAGTATGTGGAGCAATTTGTTCTACTTAGTCTTTAGGAAGGTTTCATGAAAGAAGTGGGGGTTAATGGAATGTGAGCAGGATCTCTCTAAGAGGACAAGGGGAAATGGGAGATTATAGTCAGAGGACACATCTTTGAGTCAAGAAATTGCCTGTGAAAATTGTTCACTTTTATGTTTGTACAAGAGGCCATAGAATTTTGGAGCTAGCAGGGATCTATTAGTAACATGGCCTACTTAACTCTTTTTTGCTAAAGAGGCAAAAATCACCAACTTAAGGTTCGTGGCCTAATTATTGACCTGGGTACAATTGGAACTCAGGTCTATTGATTTAGGAGTTTTTCTTTACTGATATGCATATAAAAGGCAGGGAAATTGAGGATAAAAGTGAGTTCTAAATAATCATTCAAAAAGTATACAGCACGTTCTCTAAGTTTCTAGCATTTTTAAGTTATGGGTATATTTTGACTAATGGAATTCTGCAAAAAAAAAAAAAAAAAAAAAAAAAAAATTGACTTGGAAAAGACCAAAGTGTAATTTCCTGTTTCCTAATGTATGGCTATTTATTTGGAATGGAGTTAAAAGAAGTACATTTAGTTTAACTTGTTCTTTTTAAGAGACAGGGTCAGCCAAAGGCGT